CCTAAACCCTAAACCCCTAAACCCTAAACCCTAACAAGGGCCTGGTTTCAGGGCTTGGGTCTCAAACCCTCAGCCCTCAGCCGCCACCGCAGCGCAAGAAAGCACGAGAAGGGCCCCTGAACCCCAAGCCCTAGACGCTAAACCCTAAACCCTAAACCCTAGACCCTGAACCCTGAACCCTAAACCCTAAACCCGAAACAAGCTGGGCCAAGACACGTCCTCATCCTGGCAGGAGGTGATGAGGACTCTGAAGCTTTTGCACACTCTAAAGGTAGTTATGTGGTCCCTTAGTATGGCCCCTTAAAAGGGCTTAGGGTTTAGGGTTTAGGGTTTAGGGTTTAGGGTTTAGGGTTTAGGGTTTAGGGTTTAGGGTTTAGGATTTAGGGTTTAGGGTTTAGGGTTTAGGGTTTAGGGTTTAGGGTTTAGGACTCGGGTTTCGGGTTTCGGGTTTAGTAATATGGCCCTTAAACGGGGGCCCCTTTACATACCCTCCATATACCCTCAACCCAAGCGCCCATACTCAGCCCCTCGTCCCCCTCAGGGGTTTGGAGCCCCAAAAATCCCTGAGTAAGCTGAGCTTTGTAACCCTTAGCCTCTCAACCCTAAACCCTAATCTCTACATTTTGAAGCCTGATTCCTGGAATGCTCAAGCCTCAGCCCAGGCTTAGGTGTTCGGGTAAGAAACACACCTGTACTTGGAGGGCTTCTAAGTGGGTTATAAGTACAGTTATACTTGGTCAATAAGCACCATGAACCTCCAAGTGTATCAAAAAGATCCCACACCTCCCCCCCCCCTCCCGAACCAAAAATCGGAATTGCCGGGGGCCCTGCAAATGTATGAATATACCTTACAGTTGCCACATATCATTCCTTACTGTAGTTTGCGGTCTATTCCTTGCTTGGAGGGTCGTGGTACTTAACCAGTTTCTAACTTTACTTATAACTGTACTCATAACCATAAGGCACTTAAGGGGCTCAGAAGTGGGTTATAATAAGTACAGCTAGAATTGGTGAATGAGTACCATGCACCTCCAAGTAGGGGCACTCTTGGCTCTATGTTGAACCCTCCACTTGCCTCATCCGTGGCCCAATCCCGGTAGCGGCTGCGCACCGCGATGGGGAAGAGTTCCATCGTCTCGGGCTTGAGCTCAAAGATTTTCCTCTGAGTTCCGGGCTTACGGTTGATCAAGGGGGCCCTTATAAGGGACCTTAGGGGTTATTTAAGGGTTCTTTCGGGGCTATATACCTTATATAGTCCGAACCCCTAAACCCTAGACCCTGAACCCCTAAACCCGGAAAAAGTCCAAACCCTCAAAGCCCTTAGGGGTTTCGCAAAACTTGTGACTTTCGGCCTGAGGGTTCCCTTGGATCCTTGAAATTGGGCGAGGGACTTGAGGATCGGGATGAAGGGTTTTTTTTTGGTTCGGGAAATACATCCTACAGAAGCGAACCGTCTCTAGAATTCCACTCCAGAACCCGTAGCCCCTACACCCTAAACCCTAAACCCTACATTTCCAAGAACTACTCCAAAGGTCCCGGGGTGGAAACGGGTGGGGGGAGGGGGTGGGGGCTCGAGGATCCATTTCAGAGGTCTCAGGTTGGCAGGGTTTAGGGTTTGGGGCTTGGGGTTTAGGGTTTAGGGTTTAGGGTTTAGGGTTTGGGGTTTGGGATTTGGGGTTTAGGGTTTCGGGTTTAGGGTTTAGGGTTTAGGGTTTAGGGTTTGGGGTTTGGGGTTTGGGGTTTGGGGTTTCGGGTTTCGGGTTTAGGGTTTAGGGTTTAGGGTTTAGGGTTTAGGGTTCGCCGGGGTCGAGGACAAAGGGCTGGGTGACCCTTTCCGGGGGACGCGAAGGCTTTTATGGCCGGGCTCATCCCATGCCGCAATGACCGCCTCCTGCTGAGCCAAGGTCTGTACCCCCCCCTCCTCGCCATACACACACCCCACACACACACACACACACACACACACACACACACACACACACACACACACACACACACACACACACACACACACACACCACACACACACACACACACACACACACACACACACACACACACACACACACACACACACACACACACACACACACACACACACACACACACACAGAGTCGTCTCAGGCTTGGGGCTTGGGGTTGGGGATCTTCAGTGTCGCGCTTTTCCATGAAGGCGCGGGCCGTTTAAGCTTCGGGTTTAGGGTTTAGTTTTTAGGGTTTAGGGTTTAGGGTTTAGGGTGCGAACCCCTCAGGAAGGTGCAAGGAGCGAGGTCCGAAAAAACAACCCCCCCCCCCTCCCCCCGAAAACCCTCTGAGGCACGTGTTTGTTGTTTCGTTGTGGGTACGCAGGGAACCAAGTCCCAAGTCCAAAACCCCAACCCCCAAACCCTACACCCCACACCCAAAACCCTAAAACCTAAACCCAACACCCAAAACCCTAAACCCTAAAACCTAAACCCAACACCCAAAACCCTAAACCCTAAACCCCAAACCCTAAACCCTAAACCCCCAAACCGGGTCTTGCACCCAGGGCACCGGCAGAAATATGCCCCAACCACGTCCGTGCCAATCTCTTTTAGATGTGCCCAGCTCATCTGAACCGACGTGGTGGTCCTGTGCGGTTCTGAACCCTACTTAGAAGCTATTTTGACTCAGTAAGCCAGTCTACCTAGTATCCCTTAGAAACCCTTTTAGCCCTCAACCCCAAACCCCCCAAGCACCTGAACACTGAGCGGACTCCGGACCTAAACTCTTTTAGGGCTTCAAGCCCTTCCCTTTTCGGCATCCACTTGCAATTCGAGAGCCTTAAACCCTAAACCCTAAACCCTCTTGGGATGTTCCCCCTTGTACTAGCAGGATTGGATAGGGGCAGTCCTCAATAGGGATTGTCACAGGGGGTACTAGAATCCCTTTTAAGGACTGTTAGTGGGGGAGCATCCCAACCTTGAACCCAGGAAGGGAAGGTAGAAGGTACGTTCAGGGATCCTCGCCTTTCAAGGATGGGTTCAGAAGCCTTCGTAGCTTAAGGTTTAAGAACATTCTCAGGGCCTACCTGTCATAAGGGGGTGTTCAACTCTCTTTTGTACTTTATTCTTCTTTTCTTTTTCCCCCATTGTTTTTTTCCACTTGTGTTTCCCTTTTCTGTCGGGGGGGAGACCTGCATGGGCCTATGTACCTACTTGGGCCTTAGGGCACTTTCTGTGCGACTCTAGGGCCCAAGAATGGTACTTTGGGGAATGTAAACTCCTTACCCTTAAGTACTGAGAAGAAGGTAGGCAAAAAAACAGAACGGTTTAGGCACATGGAACCTTACGAGATAGGACTTAGATACCCTTAACCCTAAACCCCAAACCCGAAACCCCTAAACCCTAAACTATAGCAAGGGCCCATGGAGCCTTAAAGGCTTACCGTTTTCGACGCTTTGCAAGGCAGGACACCGGTCGCTTGGAGCCGAACCTCACGGGCAAAACGCTGGCTTTGGACTTTCAAAGGCGCTTAGGGGGGGTTCGGGTTTAGGGTTTCGGGTTTAGGGTTTGGGGTTTAGGGTTTAGGGTTTAGGGTTTAGGGTTTCGGGTTTAGGGTTTAAGGGGGGGGGGCTTTAGGGTTTTGGGGTTTGGGGTTCAGAGTTTACGGGTTTAGAGTTTAGGGTTTAGAGGAGTTTGCGTACCTGCCCTGGGAACCTCGGCAGAAAAGTAGAATTTGCGCGGACCCCTCATGATAGAAGCAACTAACATTATAAGCTTGTGTTCAAGTACGGTCCGGTTTAGGGGAGTGTCGGGCTGGTAGTGATTTAGGGGGTTGAACCTAAGCCCGAAACGCTGGAAGCAGCTGAAGGGTGCTATTGGCATCCTAAACCGAAAACGCTAAACCCTCAGCCGGGCTGCCAAATTGTAGACTTTAACCATACTATTGGATAGTAATATAATACTAGTGAATCCAACTGGTTCTTTCGGTGTCATTCAATCTGTATGATTATTTTGTAAGGTTTGTTTTGGGGGTCGAGATTTGTGGGGCTTGATTGGCTTTTCTCAAGGGCTTGGGAAGCCCGTGGCTCTAGGGTTTAGGGCCTTAGGGTTCGGGTTTCGGTTTAGGGTCTAGGGGTAAGGGTTTAGGGTTTAGGGTTTAGGGTCTAGGGTCTAGGGTCTAGGGTCTAGGGTCTAGGGTCTAGGGTCTAGGGTCTAGGGTCTAGGGTCTAGGGTCTAGGGTCTAGGGTCTAGGGTCTAGGGTTTAGGGTTTAGGGTTTAGGGTTCAGGGTCTTTGGCGCGCCAGCCTCGTCCGTAGGGTGATGAGGCGGAGACGCGCACGGGTGGCGCGTCGTCTTCGTCCTCCCAGTCCTCGAGGGCTTCTGGCTCAGAGCGATTCTAGAACTCAGGCGACCCTCGTATGGTGCTCAGGGTTGTGGAATCCTAAACCCTAAGCCCTAAGCCCTAAGCCTCAAGACCCTCAAAGGTCCCAACCCCCAAGGCCCTCAAGATTGGTGTCCTGAAACGGCGCGTGGGGTTTTGGGGCTGACTTTACAGGCTCCTGGAGGGGAATTAGGCAATTTGGGTGTTCCCTTTAGAACCTTAAGGAGTGACCACTAAGTCGCTTGGTGTCTTGTGCTTTGGGGTTTAGATTGCTGCAAAGCAGGCCAAAGGATGCAGTCCTAGACCCCTACACCCTAAGCCCTAAACCCTGAACTCCAAACTCGAAACTCTTAAACCCTAAACCTCGAAACCAAAAACCCTAAAACCCTTAACCCCCAAACCCCTGAACCCTAAACCCTTAAACCCTAAGCCCCTGAACCCTGAACTCTTGAACCCTACATCAATACGCGCTAAACCCCTAAACCCGAAGCCCTGAACCCTAAACCCTGAACCCTGAAGCCCTAAACCCCAAACCCTAAACCCTAAACCCCAAAACCCTAAACCCTAAATGCTCTCAGAGGTGCCCCGAGGCATCTCTGCGGGTGGATCTGAACCACCGGGATGTCTGCATCAAATTCTTCCAGCCTTGCAGACTGAGAGCTTTTAGGGTTTAGGGTTTAGGGTTTAGGGTTTAGGTTTAGGGTTTAAGGTTTAGGGTTTAGGGTTTAGGGTTTAGGGTTTAGGGTTTAGGGTTTAGGGTTTGGGGTTTAGGGGTTTAGGGGTTTAGGGGTTTAGGGGTTTAGGGGTTTAGGGGTTTAGGGGTTTAGGGGTTTAGGGGTTTAGGGTTTAGGGTTTAGGGTTTAGGCTTTAGGGTTTAGGGTTTAGGGTTTAGGGTTTAGGGCTTAGGGTCGTATAGAGTTTTCGAAGGTTGCAGGAGTTCTTCCAGCTTTTGCAAATATTGAGAGCTCTTTGCACTGGGTTTCGGTATAGTTTGTAGAGGGTTTTTCTATGGGGGTTTGTAGGGTCTTACAGTGTTTTTTAGGTTTTAGGGCTTCGGATCGTTTTTCTGTTTTCGAGTGGCCTGTAGGGCTACATAGCACACAAAGCTCCGTCATTCCGTCCCCCTATAAGCCCTGCAAGCCCTACAAGCACTATTAACCCTGTACTATCGGGGCCTGAAGAATTTGAATAGGGTTTTTGGGGCTGTTATAGTATGTGAATGTGCCACAGCACAGCACTCTTCGAGTTTAGGGTTTAGGCTTTTGGGTTGAGGGTTTAGGGTTTAGGGTTTTGCACTCCAATATATATATATATATATATATAGATATGTCATATATATATATATACATATATTTTTTTTTTCGGCGCACAGTGGCCCACAGCTCCAACTCAACAACCGTTCGAGCAGAAGAAGCGGCAGTAACCTGTATCTTAAGAACCCCAACACCAACTTCTTGGAGGTTGTTTCCCATGTGTTTCGAAAAACGCCCACTCAGCAAACCCTACATCTTGAATCCCCGAAACCTCTCGATACCCGAAACCCCGAACCCTGGGAAAGAAAACATTAGATCCCCAAGCCCTATAAACAACACACACCGAATCCCTAAATTCTCATAAATGACATGGGTGGTTGTCAAAAATATGGTCCCTGTTTGGATCCCTATTATAATATGGCACCTAATATGTAGGTTACCCCAAAAGGGATTATAAATTTGACAACTACCCCACCCTAAACCCTAAACCCTAAACCCTAAACCCTAAACCCTAAACCCTAAACCCTAAACCGTTCAGGGGCCACAACAAGCCGCCAAGGAAAGGCCACGAGTCCGCACTTGATGGCAAGCGGCCTCTTCCGAAGCTTGACCTTTAGGGTTTGGGGTTTAGGGTTTAGGGTTTAGGGTTTAGGGTTTAGGGTTTAGGGTTTAGGGTGAAAGCCCTTAAGCCGTCACTTGATTTCCTGTTAAAAGCCCGACACACAGAACTTGAAAACCAAAAAACAACTCCCAAATACCTATCTAACCGAAACGCCCTAAAGCCCTAAAACACGAAAACCGTGAACCCAACCCCGAAAACCCTCAAAGCTCTAAACCCTAATTAAGCCCCTCCAACCCCCCCACCCCCTCCTAGACCCTCAAAATCACGACAGCCCCAAACCCGAAAGCCTCAACCCTAACACCTTGATACTCCAGGCACCTGACTACCCTAAATGCCCAAAATCCCGACCCTTTAGACCCTAAAGTCCTTAACCTGCTGAACCCCCCGAAAACAGAGAAATAACAAAACAAACGCCCTTGAAACCTCAAAGCCTTAAGATAAAGCCCTAAAGCCTTAAACACCCTAAAACCCTAAAAATCCGGAAGGCCGCAAGCCCTAAAAGCTTGAAAGCTCAAAAGCACTCGGGCCTCAAAACCCGCAAAATCCCTAAGGCACAAAGACCTAAAAGCCTCAAAAAACTAAAGCCCCGAAAACCCCCAAGTTTTTGAACCTCAAGCCCTAAAAACCAAAAAGTCTTGAAGCCCTAAGAGCCCTAAACCCGAAAGGCCCCTAAACCCTTCAACCCTAAACCCTAAACCCTAAACCTTAAGCCTTCAACACCAACAGACCCTAAACCCGAAACCCGAAACCCGAAACCCTAAACCCTAAACCCTAAACCCTGAAAGCCCTAAAGCCCTAACCCCCGAACCCTAAACCCTAAACGCTAAACCCTAAACCCTAAACCCCCTACAAGCCCTAAAGCCTTAAAGACCCGCCCGGCCTGGTGTCCCGGGAGCATGCCCAGGTCTCTCATGTGACTGTCCTGCGGAAAAGGGCTTCTTGGGATTTAGGGTTTAGGGTTTAGGGTTTAGGGTTTAGGGTTTATAGGTTTACAGGTTTAGGGTTTAGGGTTTAGGGTTTAGGGGCTGAAGAATTAGGGTTTAGGGGTTGAGGATTTAGGGCTTTAAGGGTTGAGGGTTTGCGGTTTGGGGCTTTGGGGTTTGTAAAGCTTAGAAGTTTATAAGGCTGTCGCCACAGTGCTTCGACACACAACCTGTACCTAGTCATTTGCACCACCATGAACACACATCCGTGCTCAAAGCAGATGTCTGCAGGACCGTGAGCGACATCACTTTCGAAGCCCTCAATCGCAGAGCAACTTGCCGTCATGACAAACATTCGGGTCGAGACTGACCTGTCTCGAAGCACTAAGCCGTAAGCCCGAAGCCCTAAACCCCAAACCCTAAACCCTGAACCCTAAACCTAAACCCTGATCCAGCTTATGTCTGTCAGACGCCCTCCCCCCAAGAAGCATGCCCCTCGCACACCGACAGGGCGAAACAGTGAAACCGGAACACAGCCATTGTAAGTGTGTAGGGCTTTCTGGTTGGTTATTCGTAAAGAATGGGAAAGTTACGTACCCTGTGGAAGCCCATAAAAGAGCGTGTATATATGCATATATATTTCAAAAATGCAAGGTGCCGAACTCCCTTATTCCTTACCCAGAACCCGCCGGTGTCGCGCTCGCGCTCGCACACATGTTGTGCGAGGACAGGCAACGTTTGAGGTTTCAGGGTCGAGATGGCTCTTGTGGGGTTTAGGGTTTAGGGTTTGGGGTTTAGGGTTTAGGGTTTAGGGTTTAAGGTTTAGGGTTTAGCTGCCCGGAGGTCACCCTCATCGGACCCTGTCAAGCCGCAACCCTCCAGCTAAACCCATTCAAGAAAACAAGCCGCCCTTCCCCTATAAATAGGGTTTAGGGTTTAGGGTTTAGAGTTTAGGGTTTAGGGTTTAGGGTTTAGGGTTTAGGGTTTAGGGTTCAGCATCTCAAGTCCAAGCATTTCACTAGTAGAGCTACTTACTCCGGTGTCGAATATCGACCCACCCACCCAGTGGATCCCATAACATTGTGAAAATATTTTACTTTATGTTTTAACCTTAAAATTTTGGGTTCAGTAGGCTGGGCCCTAAACCCTAAAGCCAGCCCAGAGTAGGCCCTAAAGCCAGCCCAGAGTGGGGCCTAAATCCTAAAGCCAGCCCAGAGTAGGCCTTAAACCCTAAAACCAGTCCTGATGGCCATGCCTGGCCCCACCCCACCCCACCCTTGACCATCGGTGCTTGTCCGGGAAGTTTTGGTGCTTGTCCGGGAATTTTTGGTGCTCGTCCGGGAATTTTTGGTGTTTGTCCGGGAATTTTTGGTGCTTGTCCGGAAATTTTTGGTGCTTGTCCGGAAATTTTTGGCGCTTGTCCGGAAATGTTTGGTGCTTGTCCGGGAATTTTTGGTGCTTGTCCGGAAATGTTTGGTGCTGGTCCGGGAATTTTTGGTGCTTGTCCGGGAATTTTTGGTGCTTGTCCGGAAATTTTTGGTGCTTTGTCCGGGAATTGTTGGTGCTTTGTCCGGAAATTGTTGGTGCTTGTCCGGGAATTGTTGGTGCTTGTCCGGGAATTTTTGGTGGTTGGCCGTGAATTGTTGCTTGTCCGGGAAGTGTTGGTGCTTGTCCGGGAATTTTTGGTGCTTGTCCGGGAATGTTTGGTGCTTGTCCGGGAATTTTTGGTGCTTGTCCGGAAAATTTTAATGGAAAACCGCGAATCCATTAGCTTTTAAATATACATAGGTTAGAGAGTGTTTAGGGTTTAGGGTTTAGGGTTTAGGGTTTAGGGTTTAGGGTTTTAGGGTCTATTTATGCTTTATTTAGGGTTTACTTAGGGTTTCTTTAGGGTTTATTTAGGGTTCTTTTAGGGTTTAGGGTTTAGGGTTTAGGGCTTAGGGTTTAGGGTTTAGGGTTTAGGGTTTAGGGTTTAGGGTTTAGGGCTTAGGGTTTAGGGTTTAGGGTTTAGGGTTTAGGGTTTCGGGTATTTTGGGGCAGATTCTACTATTATTACTATTTAAGCATGAAGGACTTTTACAAGGGTATATATTCTCGGTAGCCACTTAAATCGCCTCTTGCCTTATAAACTGTGACACCCGAGTCCTCAATCTCAAGCAGCGTCTCCATGTCTTCAAAGCCGCTGCTGTACAGGGTCTGCGCCTAGGGCTTGGGTCCTAAACCCTAAAGCTTGGGACCCTAAACCCTAAACCCTAAACCCTAAACCCTAAACCCTAAACCCTAAACCCTAAACCCTAAACCCTAAACCCTAAAACAAACAGCCCTTCAGAGGGATGATTATCGAGGACTGAAGCCCAGAGTTTTTGGCTTCCAGTTCGGGCCACGCATGTTGACACATTCGGCCCTGTTTTGCGGAGACGATTTCGGCTCAATGGTTATGCCGTTTGGGGCTCGAAGCCCTCCACCCCCAAAAGATGGATTGGAAGGCGGCACTGCAGCAGCCCTGTGAAATACCAACACTGTCCTATATAAATACGCTCGTATAACCCCCCAAACCCTTGGGGTGTTTAGGGCTTCGGGTGTAGGGCTGAGAGGCTCATGGGTTTAGGGTTTAGGATTTAGGGTTTAGGGCTTAGGGCTTAATTGGAGGCATTCATGGGTTTTGGGTTTCGGCTTAGGGTTTCGAGGCTCATGGGTGCAGGGTGCATCTTCTTGTGTGTTTCCCTGCTTTTCTTTCCTACGTCAGTGGATTTTGCGGATCTCACCCGGAGTTGAAGCGCTTGCTCTTGAAACAACGTTCATGCTTGCGAGATGCGCATCAACATTCATGAAGATAGCTTCAAGTGGGTGGTTGTCAAAATTATGGTCCCTTTTGGGGCGCCCTAACTATTAGGTGCCGTCTGATAATCGGGATCCAAGAAGGGAACCTAATTTTGACAGCCACCCAAGTGAGTCCAACGTCTTTTTGATGTCCAGAAGTACAGACGGGAGCGATCGCACTGGCGCCATTGAAGGCCTTGCCGGAAGGTTCGCGGGTTCCAAGCAACTGTATGTCGTTGCAAGCGGCAGTTGTGGAGCCGATATATGAGTATACGACGTTCTCACCTCTTCTGAACCCTGAACTTGGGATGTTCCCCCTTGTACCAACAATCCTTAACCGGGACTATAGTACCCCCCCCATTTTCTATGCCCCTCAAGGACTGTTAGTATAATAAGGGGGAACATCCCAACCCTAAACCCTAAACCCGAAACCCTAAACCTAAATTCCTAGGGCTGCGAAGCCGATGCCAAGCTTTCAGGGCTTCGGGGGCTTTCGGGCTGAGGAGTTCTAGGGTTTAGGGTTTAGGGTTTAGGGTTTAGGGTTTAGGGTTTAGGGTTTAGGGTTTAGGGTTTAGGGTTTAGGGTTAGGGCTTAGGGACAACCTGGAACTTGCGCTTTCGGAGAAAGGGCTGAGGGCTCAGGGTTTACGATGTCCTTTACCCTCACACCCCCGAACTCCTCGACCCGAAAAGCTTCAAATCTCTAAATGTTCAACTCTAACCCAAAACCCTCAGCCAATGAAGCCGAGATCCTAAGCCCGGACAAAAAAAACACACACAGCCTTCCCTCAAAGAACCCGAGACAAGGAGCCCCCCCCCCCCCCCCCCCGCCCCAACCCAACAACGGCCCCCCGAGAACCCGGTCTCTGTTTAGGGTTTAGCCCCCCCCCCCCCCCCCCCCTCCCTGAAACAAAGGACCCCGGCAACCCTGTAAAGTTGAAAATCCTCTGAAAGCTAAACCCTAAACCCTAAACCCTAAACCCGAAAGGCCCCACGAATGCAGTCTAGCAAGCCCTGTACAAACCCCGAAGACCAGAAACTTGATAAACCTTTCCCCCCCCCCAAACCCTATCCACCGAATAGGGTCTATGAGCCTTACAAGCCCATAAACAGCACAACGCACAACCCCGATAACCCCATAAACCCCCACGAACCCTCTTTCAACCCCATAATGCCCGAGAAAGTACACCCCTGAACCCTAAACCCTAGACCCTAAACCCTAAACCCTAAACCCTAAACCCTAAACCCTAAACCCCTAAACCCGAGACCCCAAACCCTAAACCCCAAACCCTACTCCCCAAACCCTACTCCCCAAACCCCAAACGGTCATCGGACTCATGGGTCGTTGCTCCTTACGACGAGGCGCATACTGCATCAGGCCGATCCTGGCTAAGGTTCTGGGGTCCCTAAGGAAGGGGGGTTGGGGGTTCAGGTAGGGTCTCGGGGGTAGGTACTTAGGGAACCTTGGGGAAGCTTCGGGAGCCTTAGGGAGTAGTGGGGAGTATTGGGCAGTATTAGGGAACCTTGGGTTACCTACACCCCTTGAACCCCTCTCCTTCACGACCCTTTAGCAAAGATTCAGGCTTTCAGAAAGCGGTGGCGCAGTGTTGGGGGGGGGGGAGGGGGTTAGGGTCTGGGGTCTATCGAGGGAGAGCCTAGGGTTTAGGGTTTAGGGTTTAAGGCTTCAGGGTTTAGGGCGTGTCAGGGGAGGGCGCGCGCTCGGGTGTGAAACACCCCGGGCCGCGCGCTCGCGTTGCCCGTCAACCCACCCCGGCCACCCAAACTATACTCTCAGGGTTTAGGGTTTATTGATTTTTTCCTTGTGCACCGATACTTGCTGCTGTTATGTTTTTAAAGTTGCGGTGCTAGGGTTTAAGCTGATGTTCGGGGTAGCCTCGGCCATTGTCGGGCCTTCGGCACGTCAGGGCCCGTAGAGGCTCTTATTTACTTGATGGGGAGGAGATCCCTGCCTTGAGGTCCCTTTGTTTTTTTCTGGGAGGCCCCAAGCCCCTGCCTAGCCGCAGCAGCTGCCTGCGAGGCCCTGCAAGGCTGAGGAGCCTCTACGTGCGGACCGCACCAAGGTAGGCCTCCCAACCTCCCAAATTGTGGGGGCTGGCACAGCCAGAAATCGGGGCACAGCAGGTGGGAGGCGAGGCCGGCGAACTTGAGCGACAAGGAGCCGGCCCCCGGCGGGGGGGGGCCGGGCAAACCCTAACTTAGGGTTTAGGGTTAAGGGTTAAGGGTTTAGGGTTTAGGGTTTTGGGTTTTGGGTTTTGGGTTTTGGTCTGTCCCGAAACCCTGAGCCCCTCCCCGCAACTCCGAAGATGCGCCGTCGTGAAGGAACTTAGATTAAGCTTCCATAGAACGGAAACATATATATATATGTATAATTAAACCCTAAACCCTAAACCCTAAAGCCCCAAAACATATTCACACACATAATTATACATAGAGGTATCAACCTCCAAACCCTACAGCCCGAACTGCTTCCTGATCTATCTTGAAACTTGAGCCCTAGACCCTCAACCTTAAGTCCGTGAGCCCTAAAGCCTCAACCTCCTGAGCCCTGAAGCCCTAAACAAACCCTCAACTCCTAAAACCCTATCCCCTACGCCCTCAGCCCTCAATTCCTAAAACCCTAAAACCCTAAAACCCTGAAACCCTAAAACCCTAAACCACTAAACCCTAAACCCCAGGAAAATAAAAAATAAAAAAGCTGCCGGGCGTCTGTCGGAGGAACTTCGTCACCTCGCTCTGCTCCACGTTGCAGCGCAGGCTCTGATTGGGCGGCGGCCTGCGTCCCCCCCCCCCCCCTCCCCCCGCCCCCGCTTGGGGGTTTAGGGTTTACGGTTCTGCGGTTTGGGGATTTGGGTTAAGGGTTTGGGTTTTAGGATTTAGGGTTTAGGGCTGAGGGTTTGGGGGTTAGGGCTTGGGGTTGGGGTTTAGGGCTTGAAAGGTTTGGGTTTAGGGTTTGGGGCTTCGGGGTTTGGGGTTGTGGGGTTTGGGTTTGGGGTTAAGTTTAAGGTTTTGGGTTTTGGGTTTGAGTTTGGGGTTTTGAGCTTGGGGTTTGGGGCTTGAGGTTTTGGGTTTGGGGGCGGGGTTTAGGGTTCTGGGCTTTTGGTTTTAGGTTGGGTTTAAAAATTCTGGGATTTGGGGAAAGGGGGGTTTGGGTTTAAGGTTTTGGATCTACGGTTTTGGGAGCTAGGGTTTATGGGTTGGTTTTGGGTTCAGGCTTTGGGATATAGGAGTTTAAGGTTAGGGGTTTGGAGCTTGGGGGTTGGGAGTTTGGGAGTTTGGGAGTTTGGGAGTTTGGGAGTTTGGGAGTTTGGGGTGAGGGGTTCAGGGGGTTTTGGGATGCGGTGACCTCAGGTTTAACCCTAAAGCCTAAACCCTAAACCCTAAACCCTAAACCCGGTGGAAGGCCTAGGGTCGTGGGCTTTCGGCGGCTTTGGTTCCACTTTAAACTCCCTAAGCTTCCTCTGAGTGCCGCAACCCTAAACCCTAAACCCTAAACCCTCAACCCTAAGACCCTCCTCTAAGTGCATACCCAAGCACCCAGACCCTGAACCCTTAGGCCCTCAACCCGAATCCCTTACACCCTAAACTCCAAACCCTAAACCCGTAAACCCATAAACCCCTTAAACCCTAAACCCTATACACCCTAAACCCTATACACCCTAAACCCTTTTCACCCTAACCCTAAACCCTAAACTAACCCTCAACCCTAAACCCTGCACAGCCTAAACCCTAAAACCTAAACCCTACACACCTACACCCTAAAGCCTAAACCCGAATTAAACCCTACACGCCCTGACCCTGAACCCCAAACGCCCTGAAGCTCGGGCCTACCGGGCCGTGGCTTGGGAGCAGCACGCCCCGAGCTGCTGGGCTTCGGGGAAAGGGCCGACGCCTTGGGTGCGACATGGAACTTTGGGATGTTTGCTGGTTTAGGGTTTAGGGCTAGGGCTTCGGGGCTTAGGGGTTCTGGGCTGAGGGTTTAGGGTTAGGGCTTAGAGTTTAGGGTCTCGGGGCTCACATAGGGTTTTTCGGGCTTTTGGGTTGAGGGGTTTTCCCACCACTCCCCCGGTGCCAAGGAGGAGAGCCATGACTGAGAGCTCTTGCACGTGAAACAGGCGTGGTTGTTTAGGGTTTGGGGGTCTAGGGCTTTTTTAGGGTTTGAGGGTTTAGTGGTTGGGGTTTCGGGTTAGGTTCTAGGGTTTAGGGTTTGGGGGTTTAGGGGTTTGGGGCTTAGGTTTAGGGTTTAGGGCGCACAGGGGGGGGTGGGTGAAATGCACAGTTTGTTACGCACCCATCGAGCTTTGTGCATGTAGAATCTGTTGAACTCATGGACCATCTGCTTGAAGGTGGTCTGTCTTCTTCAGGTTTGATCTTCATGTTGAGATGCATTGGCAACCGGCTTCGATGTTCAAACCGCTGGCGTTCGATTGGCCAAAGCTTCAACAGTCAAGACCAATCGCGAGCATTCGCCGGGACAGTCTATCCGAGAGGCTTCCTCTTCGAGGTTAAAACCAAAAGTCATAAATAAGCAACAAAAGCCCTGAACCCTAAAGCCCCTAAACCCTACACCCCAAAGCCCTGAACCGTAAACTCGAAACCCTGAAGCCCCTAAACCCGAAACCCGAGGTCTATCCAAGGACTGAACACAACCGGCCGTCAAGGTCCCACGTTGCAACTCTCGCAAGCCAGCCCTTTCGGTCAACCCAAAAGCTCCGAATTAACAAAAAAAAACAGAAACTTGATAAACCCTTTCTCAGGGCTCAGGTTTGGGGTGTTTAGGGTGCAGAGTTTAGAGTTTAGGGCTTAGGGTTTAGGGTCTTCATTGAAGGTTCAGGGAAAGATTCAATTGTTTAGGCAGCAGGGCTCCGGGTTTTTGCTGAAGCCATTTGGGGTCTGTGAGGCGCTGCCTCGTAGGGTTTAGGGTTTAGGGTATAGTGTTTAGAGTTTAGGGTTTAGGGTTTAGGGTTCAGGGTTCAGGGTTTAGGGTTTAGGGTTTAGGGTTACGCAACATCGGGATCCTTAATCTGATTTGAGGCATGCTCCTTATTCTTAAGGCGTCGCTGGGCTCTTCATGTATGTGAGCCGTATCCCAGATGCTCCTGCAGTTCCCCCCCTGTTCAGCACAGCACCTTCCCGCTGACAGGGGCAGGGTACCCTAAACCCCAAGCCCGAACTCCCGAAACCCTAAGCCCCTGAACCCGAAATTCCCAAAACCCTAAACCCTGAACCTTGAATCCCGAAACCCATAACCCTAAATCCCTTAAACCCTAACACCCTGAATCCCAAAAACCCGAAGACCCGAAACCCAGAACCCCCTATCAATCCAAGGGGCCCGGGCCCGGACGGCGGTGCGCCCTGAATACCCGCCAGCAGGCGAGCTCCGTCTACACGTGGCCGCGGGGAAGGTGCCTGGGGTTGAGGGTTTCAGGGTTCAGGGTTCAGGGTTCAGGGTTTAGGGTTCAGGGTTTAGGGTTTAGGGTTAGGGTTTAGGGTTTGGGGCTTAGGCTTGAGGGTTGAGGGTTGAGGGTTGAGGGTTGAGGGTTGAGGGTTGAGGGTTGAGGGTTGAGGGTTTAGGGTGCTTAGGGTGTTTGGGGTTTAGGGAGTTGGGGTTTTTGGGTTTAGGGCTTAGGGTCTCAGGGCTTAGGGCTTTTGGGGATCTTTTTTCTGTATAGGGCTTAGGGTTTCAGAGCATAGGGCTTTTGGGCGTTGATGGATTTGGCTTCGAGAGGTTTTAGAAGTGCAGGCGGACCATGGAGACGCGCGCCGTCTCTCGCACAGCCTCTTGTCGCGCTAAGGTAGCACTAAACCCTAAACCCTAAACCCTAAACCCTAGACCCTAAACCCTAAACCCTAAACCTAAACCCCAAACCATAAACCCTAAACCCTAAACCCCAAACCCTAAACCCTAAACCCTAAACCTAAACCCCAAACCCTAAACCCTAAACCCTAAACCCTAAACCCTAAACCCAGGCTTTTCTGACACCGGGGAGTGCTCCGCCAAGCGCTTGTCGAAATCGCCCAGAGTGTCTCCGGCCAGTCGCGGCGTTTAAAAGCAGCAACGCCTTGAGCCACGGCGACGCCCTTGGGAGTTTTGTGGCTGTGGTTCATGGTCTGTAGAGTCGTTTTAGGGTAAGGTTCGGCTTTAGGGTTTTCATTGTGGTTTTTGTGGTTCATGGTGGGTTTAGGGTTTAGGGTTCAGGGTTTAGGGTTTCGGGTTGAGGGTTCCCCGTTCCCTTCCTGTGGTTCGTGGTGGGATCAGGGTTAGCTGTCAGGGTTTAGTTTAGTGTTGGAGGTGGGATGTACCATGGGCAGGGGGGGTGCTGGAGAATGCGGCGGCGTGGACGCAGAGGGTTTTGGAGGGTTCTAGCAGGTTTTACGTGTTATGCACATACACACATACAGGGATTATACAGCGCTGTGTATGGGTATAGGAGGCTATATGGGTATTTCCCAAAATAGGGGTGCCGGCACCCCTTTTATACCCCAAATGGAAAAGAATCCCCGTAAAGGGACCCCCCAAGCAGGGTACCCCCATTTTCAGAAACGTCCATAGCGATAATAGAACCCATAGAGACTTCCAGTCCTCTCTCTCTCTCTTTCTCTTTTTTTCTCTCTCTCTCTCTCTCTCTCTCTCTCTCTCTCTTTCTCTCTCTCCATCCATCTCTCTCTCTCTCTCTCTCTCTCAGGCGTCGTGCGTGCGGGCTGGCGCACTATGGGCGCGACCACGACGCCCACAATTTTGGCTGTGCGATCAGAGGAGTGCGCACAAAGCTTATAGGGTTTAGGGTTTAGGGTTTAGGGTGCTTAGGGTGTTTAGGGTAGGGTGTTTAGGGTGTTTAGGGTGTTTAGGGTTTTGGGTTCAGGGTTTAGGGTTTGGGTTTAGGGTTTACTTGGAGGTTCATGGTACTTACCAACCAATTATAACTGTACTTACAACCCACTATAAGCCCCTTAAGTGCCCTGGTATGGTTATAAGTACAGTTACAAGTACAGCCATGATTGGTTAATAAGTACCATGAGCCTCCAAGTAATACACCTGAGAAGGCCCAGAATTCCGATCCTGCGCCCTCAACCTGAAACCCAAATCTTGGCCTTCACACGTTTGGGAAGGCTTGCGGGCCTCAGGAGTTTTTGGGCTTAAGGCTTGGGCCTTAGGTTGGGATGTTCCCCCTTAATAGGCATTATCATGCTCCCTATGATAATACCGATTAAGGACTGCTAGCATCAGGGGGAACATCCCAAGGCTTAGGGTTTAAGGTTTGGGCCGTAGGGTTTAGGGTTTAGGGTTTAGGAGTTTAGGGTTTAGGAGTTTAGGAGTTTAGGGTTTAGGGCTTAGGGTTTGGGGTTTTGGGTTAGGGTTTAGGGTTTAGGGTTTAGGGTTTAGGGTTTAGGGTTTAGGGTTTAGGGTTTAGGGTTTAGGGTTTAGGGTTTCGGGTAGGGTTGCGGGGGGTGGGGTTGGCCAGAGTGTCACCGAGCAGCTGCGCTCATCTCGCGCGCCTCCCTGCCTGCGGGCCTGCATCTCCTGCACAGGAGGGTTTAGGGTTTAGGGTTTAGGGTTTAGGGTTTAGGGTTTAGGGTTTAGGGTTTAGGGTTTAGGGTTTAGGGTTTAGGGTTTAGGGTTTAGGGTTTAGGGTTTAGGGTTTAGGGTTTAGGGTTTAGGGTTTAAACGTAAACCCAAAAAATCGCAAACTTTCAACCCCCAACCCTAAAACATAAACCTCCAACCCTCAAACCCGAAACTTCCAGGCCCCAAATTCATAAAGTTTAGAGTCAAGGGTTTAGAGTTTCGGGCCTCGGGTTTGAGAGCATAGTTAAGAACCCTGAACACTGAACCCTAAACCCCAGACCGCGAACCCTACGAACCCCCACACCCCCTAAAGCCACGATATCTTTCGGGTTTAGGGACTAGGGTTTAGGCTTTAGGGTCAGTGGTATAGCGTACTCCCTTCAGAAATTAGTTTAGAAACCAAGCCTACCCTAGGCTCAAACCCCCCCGGGTACATGGGTAATGGAATCTAAGAAACTTAGGGTACCCTATCTCCGGAAAACCGTTTCTTAAACAGCGTTTTTACTGTAGGGTCAACCCTACCCCTCGGCACCTGCCCCTAGCCGCAGCGGTCTCGCGGCCATTCAGCGCGGGGTCGCGCAGCTGCTTGAGCCATCAGCGCTTGCGGGAAAGCGTTCAACCCTTGTTTTCAGGGTTTGGGGTTTTAGGGTTTAGGGTTTAGGGTTTGGGGTTTAGGGTTTAGGGTTTAGGGTTTAGGGTTTAGGGTTTAGGGTTTAGGGTTTAGGGTTTAGGGTTTAGGGTTTAGGGTTTAGGGTTTAGGGTTTAGGGTTTAGGGTTTAGGGTTTAGGGTTTAGGGTTTAGGGTTTAGGGTTTAGGGTTTTTAGGGTTTAGGGTTTAGGGTTTAGGGTTTAGGGTTTAGGGTTTAGGGTTTAGGGTTTAGGGTTTAGGGTTTAGGGTTTAGGGTTTGGGGGTTCAGGGTTTGGGAATTCAGGGTTGCAGCCTCTCACACAAACATCCCACCACGTCTCACTATCCAGAAGTGCCAGTTCAGACCCTTGCTTCTGGAGACGGTGCCCGACTTCAATACGACAGCACACAGACCCAGAAGTAATCCCCTCACCCAAATGTTAAGTACCCCGATATCCCCGTAATACTACATACTCCCCATGTACTATACTCTAACTATAACGGGCGTATTGAAGATGAGGGGGTAGAGGGGGGGGGGTTAAAATTAGTATTAGGGGGAGGGATTACAGATCATGCCAAACCAACGGAGGAAGGTCCTGAGCCTCTTGGAAGGGTTCTCAAGGTCAACAGGTGCAGGGACGCAGCCCAGGCTGGTTTGAGGATTCCAGTCTGTGGTTTAGGGTTGAGGGTTTAGGGTTTGGGGTTTAGGGTTTAGGGTTGAGGGTTTAGGGTTTAGTGTTACGCTTTAGGGTTTAAGGTATAAGGTTTAGGGTTTGGGGGGATTGGAGTCCCAAAGCCAACTTGGTATCCAGCTCCCCTCAAACCTACTCCCTAAACCCTGAACCCTAAACCCTAAACCTCTTGAACCCTGAACCCTAATCTCTGAACCTGAAGCACCTCCAAACCCCGGAAGCCCCAAACCTAACACCAAAAGCCCTAAACCTCTTGCACCTACGACACCAAGCCGCACAAGTTTGACCTTCGGAATCCACTCCTCCACTCCCCATCAGACCCAACGTATAACTTAAACACAAGCAAGTTGCAGGGGTTTCGGGTTTAGGGAGTAGGGCTTAGGGTTTAGGGTTCAGGGTGTGGGGTTAGCCTGCACGTGGAGCCTGAGATTAGGTTTGCGGGCTTGGGGATGGCTCAGGGCTTAGGAGCAGTCAGCAGCTTGGTACAAACAAGCCCTAAACCCTAAGCCCCAAGAGAGCCTGACATCTCAAGCAATCTCTAAGCCCTTCAAAGATGGAGCCCCCGAAAAATAGCACCCTCAACCCTCCTAAACCTCCTAAACCCCCAACCCCGATTCCCCCCGTGACTCAATTAGAAACCCAAACTCCTGAAACGGCCTGAAGCCCGTAACCCTTAACACAATCAGAAAACCCTTTGAAAGCAGAAAATCTTTAAACCCAAAAAAGCATTCAGACACCATGGAAAGAGCCTCAGAAAGCCCATCGCCCATGAAAAATCTTAGAAATTCTGTAAAAAATACTTGAAAAGCCCTCGAAACAACCCTAAACCCCAAACCCTAAACCCTAAACCCCAAACCCGAAACCCTAAACCCTAAACCCTAAACCCTAAACCCCAAACCCGAAACCCTAAACCCTAAACCCTGTGGCCTGGAGCTGCTTGGCCTCAGAGATCTGCTGGGCGTGCGATTTCCTTGCCGCCCGACCACCCAGGGAGCGGGTTTAGGGTTTAGGGTTTGGGGTTTGGGGTTTAGGGTTTAGGGTTTGGGGTTTGGGGTTTAGGGTTTAGGGTTTGGGGTTTAGGGTTTAGGGTTGGGGTTTAGGGTTTAGGGTTTTGGGGTTTAGGGGTTTAGGGCTCAGGGTCTAGGTTTTCGGGTTTAGGGTTTAGGGTTTAGGGATTAGGGCTTAAGACTTAGGGCTTAGGGTTTAGGGTTTAGGGTTTAGGGTTTAGGGCTTGGGGTTTGGGGTTTAGGGTTTAGGGTTTGGGGTTTAGGGTTTAGGGTTGGGGTTTAGGGTTTAGGGTTTTGGGGTTTAGGGGTTTAGGGCTCAGGGTCTAGGTTTTCGGGTTTAGGGTTTAGGGATTAGGGCTTAAGACTTAGGGCTTAGGGCTTAGGGTTTAAGGTTTAGGGTTTAGGGTTTAGGGTTTAGGGTGTTGCTTCGGGCTTTTCGATTTTCAGGGTCAGGGATCGAGGGCTCAACCCTCCTAAACGCTCAACCTGTTAGAAGTGCACAAAAGAATTAAACCCTTCAAAGCCCCAAAGCCCTGGACCTCTAACAGCCCTATACTAACGCCTAAATCCCAAACCACACCAAAGCCGCAAAGCCCTTAGAAAACACACCAAAAGATATCAGAACCCCTAAACCCCACCTAAACCTTAAAACCCTGAAAAACAAACAAAGTAGGAAAAACCTGCCAAAAAAGACTTAACAACCCCCAAGCCCCAAACCACAAAAACCCTAAAAATAATGCCACAAAAACACTTCAGAACCGCTAAGCCCCAAACCCCACCAAAACCCTAATACCCTGAAAGCCCTTGTATTATGCAACAACCCACCCACACCTAAGAGCCCCTAGACCCCGCAAACACAAAACCCCAAACCCCAAAACCCTAAACCCCAAACCCTAAACCCTAAACTCCTAAACTCCTAAACTCCTAAACCCTAAACCCTAAACCCTAAAACCCAAACCCTGAATCCTAAACCCTAAGCCAAGGCGCGTCATCTCTGTCAGCAGGCGCTCCCGCTCCGCCAGGTCCTTGGGATTTGTGGGTTTAGGGTTTAGGGTCTAGGGTTCGGGGTTTAGGGTTTAGGGTTTAGGGTTCAAGGTTCAAGGTTCAGGGTTCAGGGTTCAGGGCTTAGGGCTTAGGGTTTAGGGTTTAGGTTCAGGCGGACCTGCAAGCCAAAGAACACCAACGGCCTAAAAACCCGCAAGCCTAAAAGCCAAAAAAGTTCAAACCTAACCCAAAAGCCCTAACACCCTGAATTCGAAATACCTAAGCACACAGAGATATGAATCCAAAGGCCCGTGAATACATCCAAAACCCTGAAAACAAAAACCTGAACCCAAAAAGCCCCAAAACCTCCTAAACCTCTCATACTCTCCCTTGTCCCTTACTTAACCCTAACCCCCAAAGCTCCCCAAAGCCCCCCAAAGCCTCAACCCTTTACTGAGTCGGCCACATCATGGAGCTCGCTGACCATTACCTCGCTTCGCCGGGTTTACGGGCTGACTTGTGTGTCGGGTTCAAGGTCCAGGGTTTGAGGGTTGAGGGTTTAGGGTTTAGGGTTTAGGGTTTAGGGTTTGGGGTTTAGGGTTTCGGTTTTTTAGGGCGTGGTGTTTAGGGTTGAATTAGGGTTTGGCACGTGAGCAAAAGACACACTTCAGGTGCTGCATCTGATGTCTTGGCGGTGAGTGCCCGAATGCTGAACAATGAACCCTGAACCCCAGAATTTTCCCCGCAAAGCCCAACACCCAAAACCCAAAACCCCCAGAGCAATAAACCCTAAAACATTGAAGCCCTAAACCCGAGGCCTGTAACTTCACACACCTCCCAACAAAACCCTAAATCATAGACCCTACTTCAACTGCCCTAAACCCTACACCCTAAACCCTAAACCCTGAACCCTAAACCCTAAAACCTCAACCCTAAACCCTAAACCCCCCAGAGCCTAAACCCTAAAACCCGGCTGATGCCAGGGGCCCCGGCGTCGCCGGCGCCGCCGTGCTCCCCGACATTCTGAAGCATCTCCGCAAGTCGCGCCACCTCTGCCTGTGCAGGCGTTGGGGGGTTGAGGGTTGAGGGTTTAGGGTTTAGGGTTTGGGGTTTGGGGTTTAGGGTTTAGGGTTTAGGGCTGGGGTTTCGGGGGGTTTTGCGGGGTTTTTGGGGGGTATAGGGAGGGTTTAGGGGGGTTTAGGGGCTTAGAGGTTTAGGGCTGGGTTTCGGGGTCTAAGGGTTTAGGGGATTAGGGTATTAGGGGTTAAGGGGCTGAAGGGGGTTTAGGGGTCTAGGGGGCTTCGCGCTTAGGGTTTAGGGCTTAGGGCTTAGGGTTTAGGGTCTTTAGGGTCTTCAGGGTCTTTAGGGTCTGCAGGGTCTTCAGGGTCTTCAGGGTCTTCAGGGTTTAGGGCCTTCGGTGTTTTTTTAGGAGCCTCGGAGATGGAGCTCAAGGGTTGTCTTGAAGAAAAAGCCGGTTTCTTCCCGCAACCCCAAGGCTGCTCTTAGGGTTTAGGGTTTAGGGTTTAGGGTTTAGGGTTTAGGGTTTAGGGTTTAGGGTTTAGGGTTTAGGGTTTAGGGTTTAGGGTTTAGGGTTTAGGGTTTAGGGTTTAGGGTTTAGGTTTAGGGGTTAGGGTTTAGGGTT